CAGAAAGGATTTCCAATTTCTCAGAAAACTAACGTGAAACCCACACTGCCTGGTGTTACAGGATTAAATGCTTGTGGCACATTGACTATTCTGCTAGCATCCTGCCACACCCTGAAGAATCATCAAGAACAACTGCCATTGAGCTGCTGAGGGACATGCAGGGCACTGGTGGGGGTGGGGGGGGGGAAGCTTCCCAGCCCCATGTCATATGACTGAAAGGGACTTCCGCTGAGAAACTCCTGGAGTAGAGAGAATACATCAGCCTGGAGAACAAAGCCTCGCTTCTCAAGAGTTAAGGAAAACCATGCACTAATCTATCAGTCTTTCCTAGGTAGTTAGCCAGGGTGTTCTGTGAAGAATCCTTTTCCAAGCCCACCCCGGCCAGTGCTGGGGGAAGGAGGAAGGGTGGGAAGGTGGTCGCATCACAGTGGTGGGTACAGTGAGGGTCGGGCCCAGCTCTCTGCTTGTGGTTGGTGTGTCTTTTCTAGCACCTGCAGCAGCTTGATGGCACAGGCCAGGGCCACCTCCCAATCACCTCTTCTTGAAGTCATATTTTTTTTTTCTTTTGTTTGTAAAAGAGGTATGTCCTAGAGCTCTCCAATGATCTTCAGGCAGCCATCTCAGTCCTTCTCCTGGATGGTGTACTGTTTACAATGATAGGTACCAGAGCCTTCTGCAGATTACACAGTGCCGCTGGTAAAAGCCGTAATTACAACCCATCACACATTTGCACCAGGGTGCAGGGACACACATAGGAATCGCAGATTACACACTTTTTTTTTTTTTCAAAACTGGGAATTTAACACAGGCCCTTGTGCTTGCCAGGGAAGCGCTTATTCTAGAGCCATCTCCCCGGCCCCAGGTTACACACTTGCCATCACATCTTTCACAGTCTTCTGATGGCAACACCAGCTTGCTTTCAGCAAAAGATCGACTCCAAATGATGTTTAGCCCTAACTCCTACCCACGAGGGCTGCTGGGATTTCAGCTTTGTTTTTTTTTTTCAGCTTTGTTTTGAAACAGGATCTCACTGAGTTGTTTGAACTTGCCATCCTCCTCCCTTAACCTTGGTAGCTGGGACTAAAAGTGTACTCCACTGTGCCCACCTAGCCCTACCTTAATTGATGGTTCCATTGAACATGGGTGTGATGAGCAAAGAAAGTACCTTGGTATATAGCAAGTTTTTGGTGTTTGTAAGTGATTGGACAAGCCAAGGATGATCATAGATGTGTACTTACTCAGAAACTGCTCTTATGCTGCTTCAAGGTACTTTAAAATAGGAAACTGAGACCACATTGTCTTGTGTAAGTCATCTTCACAGGCTGCCTGTGACACTGGTGTCCTGGTTGTGTCTGTGATATGGTGACTCCGGTGAAGACTGCCTCTATTCCACTCTGATGGCTCAGAAGCATGACCCTTGTGACTACTCTGATTTCAGCAGAAGCCCTAATCCTAAGGGACCTCAGAATGCATGATTCTTGCTTGAGTGGCTGGAAGTTCTTCTGTTCTGTTCTGTTCTGTTCTGTTCTGTTCTGTTCTGTTCTGTTCTATTCTGAAGGGAGTTATTTGTTTATAATACAAGCAAGGGTGAGGATGACAGAAGTTATTCTGGATTAGAGCCCCAGAAAGTCTGATTAATGCATTTTGGTTTGGAGCAGTGAGGTTTTCTTTTTCTAAAATGCCTTAATATGATTATATTTACATAAACATGTTTTTATGTGTGTGGCCTAGACCTCCTCCCTGATGTGGGCCATCATTTCATGGGTGGTAGGTAGCGAGCATGTCATTGTGTCCCTTTAACACAACTCAGCTCCACAGTGGAACAGCTCACACATTCTACCCTATGTCAGGACCTTTGATGTGGACCACATTCATTTTTGTTATTTCGTCAGGTAATCAACCCAGCTAGGGCAGGAATTTCTTAAGACTCCAACATCCAGTTTGCATTATATCCAAATTAAGTATTTAGAGAAGCAAGACATGGACTCCCTGGATTTTTGTTTTAATTATAGCAAAGTCCTTTATTGTGCATTTATTTTGGAACCAAATGTACAAACTCTTGTAACTCAGAACTTCTGAGATGCCAGAAATTTATGAAACTCTAGACGTAGTGCAAACAATATGAAACACTGGTCAGCTAAAGATCTAAATTTTAGTGCTTGGCCTGGTGAGATGGCTCAGTGGTCTAAAGCACTACTTAGAACAAGCTTAGCAAAGCACAGGGCCCGCGGTTCAATCCCCCAGCACCACATGCCAGCCAGCCCCGCCCCCTGGTGGGCTGAGCTGGACACACACACACACACACACATAAATAAAATTTAAAAATAAATAAATAAAATGATTAAATTTTAATAAATAAAATGATTAAATTTTAGGAGCTTAAGGAATTTCATCTCCAGTAATGGGGGTGTGCCAGCCCTGCCCCCAAGCGTACTGAGGGAGACTGAGCCCACGTGTGGTAAGCCCGCATGTGGTGGTGCACGCCTGTAATCTCAGCGCTGGGGAGGCTGAAAACAGGAGGATCACTGTAAGTCTGAGCTGTATAGTGAG